AGGATGTAATTTAAACAAATAGTAAAACTAAAACCAAACAAATCCCCAGGGCCGGATGAAGTGTTTGCTAGGGTGCTTAAAGAATGCAATGAGGAGCTTTCCGAGCCACTGTCTACCATATTTAATAAGTCAATACAGTTAGGCAGAGTGCCAGAGTCATGGAAGGTAGCTAATGTGGGTACTAATGTGTGTTGATTTGTGGGTACCAATTTTTAAGAAAGGAGTTGTTTGTTGTTATAGATTCAGCTACTCGGAACAAGTTCCAAGTAGCACGGGCAATGGTGAGCCCATAACTTACCTGGCACAGGAGCGGGGCAAATAGCACCGGCTATGGTGAGCCCGTAGTGGACTTACCTTGCACTGGAGCGGTGCGTCAAGAAAGGAGGTAGATCACCTGCGTCAAACTATCGGCCAATTAGCCTAACGTCTATTGTGGGAAAGTTACCTGAATCGATAATTGCAAATACAATTCGTCTTCATCTTGAAAAACATAAATTAATAAATGAGTCGCAACAAGGTTTTACAAATGTCCGTTCATGTTTAACAAATTTGCTATCTTTTTATTCCAGCATAGTTGAGGCAGTTGATAGTGGTAAGGATTGTGATGTTGTGTACCTTGACTTTAGCAAAGCTTTTGATACAGTGCCACATGAAAGACTGATTAAAAAAATAGAGGCTCATGGTATTAGGGGTACTATATTAAGTTGGATTAGGGCATGGCTATTCCAAAGGAAACAGAGAGTTAGTATAAATGGGGTTAAGTCAGAGTGGGATAATGTTGTTAGTGGAGTACTTCAGGGCTCTGTCCTGGGACCTCTGTTGTTTGTAATATATATAAATGATTTAGATTCAGGTTTGAGTAGCAACATCTGCAAATTTACAGATGATACAAAAGCCGGTAGGGAAATTAACACGAAAGAAGACTCACTATCACTTCAAGTTTATCTAAATAGGGTTTTGAAATGGTCAAAAGATTGGCAGATGCAGTTTAATGCTGATAAATGTAAAGTTCTGAGGCTATGATGATAGAGTTACAAGATACGATCTTGATGGTGTTGAGATTGCGAAGTCGGATTGCAAAAGGGATCTGGGAGTTATGATTAGTAAGAATTTAAAACAAAAGAATCAATGCATGAATGTTCATAATAAGGCAAATAGGACACTGGGATTTATTAATCGAAGCGTTAGTAACAAGACACCTGGTGTGGTTCTTCAGCTATATCTTGCTCTGGTTAGGCCCCATTTAGATTATGCAGTTCAGTTTTGGTCACTATACTATAGAATGGATATAAATTCACTTGAACGTGTCCAGCGTAGGATGACTAAGTTAATTCCCCAAATTAGAAATTTTTCATATGAAGAAAGATTAACAAAGCTTAAGTTGCATTCACTGGAAAGGCGAAGAGTTAGGGGTGACATGATAGAGGTTTACAAGTGGATGAATGGACACAACAAAGGGGATATTAATAGGGTATTAAAAGTATCAACACAAGACAGAACACGAAACAATGTGTATAAATTGGATAAGTTTAGATTTAGGAAAGACTTGGGTAAATACTGGTTCGGTAACAGGGTTGTTGATTTATGGAACCAATTACCGCGTGACGTGGTGAAGGTGGGGTCCCTCGATTGTTTCAAGCGTGGGTTGGACACGTTTATGAGTGGGATTGGGTGGTTATAGATAGGAGCTGCCTCGTATGGGCCAATAAGCCTTCTGCAGTCACCATTATTCTTAAGTTTTTCTTATTCTTATAAAATCCGTTGGAATCCGTTGGCGACCGTTGATGACCGTTGAAATTCAGTTTTATGCGTTAAAGCTAATTAATAACCTCCTTAAATAATGGGAATTAAATATTCATTTAGAGGTCTCGTAGTATAGTTGTCTTCGGGAAATCCCGAGTTCGATTCCTGGACGTGACGGTGATGGTAAGATATGTTTCCTTTCTTCTAATGGGCCTGTTCATCTAGCAACAAATAGGTACATGTTTCAGTTTTGTTTACCCTTTTGATTCCAGTACATAAGAACATAAGAACATAAGAACAAAGGTAACTGCAGAAGGCCTATTGGCCCATACGAGGCAGCTCCTATTTATAACCACCCAATCCCACTCATATACATGTCCAACCCATGCTTGAAACAATCGAGGGACCCCACCTCCACAATGTTACGCGGCAATTGGTTCCACAAATCAACAACCCTGTTACTGAACCAGTATTTACCCAAGTCTTTCCTAAATCTAAACTTATCCAATTTATACCCATTGTTTCGTGTTCTGTCCTGTGTTGATACTTTTAATACCCTATTAATATCCCCCCGGTTATGTCCATTCATCCACTTGTAAACCTCTATCATGTCACCCCTAACTCTTCGCCTTTCCAGTGAATGCAACTTAAGCTTTGTTAATCTTTCTTCATATGAAAGATTTCTAATTTGGGGAATTAACTTAGTCATCCTACGCTGGACACGTTCAAGTGAATTTATATCCATTCTATAATATGGCGACCAAAACTGAACTGCATAATCTAAATGGGGCCTAACTAGAGCAAGATATAGCTTGAGAACCACACCAGGTGTCTTGTTACTAACGCTGCGATTAATAAATCCAAGTGTCCGATTTGCCTTATTACGAACATTTATGCATTGATCCTTTTGTTTTAAATTCTTACTAATCATAACTCCCAGATCCCTTTCGCAATCCGACTTCGCAATCACAACACCATCTAGCTCGTATCTTGTAACTCTATCATCATTACCTAACCTCAGAACTTTACATTTATCAGCATTAAACTGCATATGCCAATCCTTTGACCATTTCAAAACCCTATCTAGATCAACTTGAAATGATAGTGAGTCCTCCTCCGAATTAATTTCCCTACCGATTTTCGTATCATCGGCAAATTTGCAAATGTTGCTACTCAAACCTGAATCTAAATCATTTATATATATTATAAACAACAGAGGTCCCAAAAAAACCAACAGTAGAAAAAAACGTGAACTTTGAGTAGTCCAACGGTCCATATTTTGGCCGTTCCTTCCATGGTCGTAGAGTTCTGTCATATTTGGCGGATGGATCGGGTAAATGACGGAGGAAAGGTTCCCGGTTGGTCCTCTCCGAAGTTTCTCTTGAGACAGCTGGAACTCGAGGGATGAATTTCATCCAGTAAAGCGACTGATTAGAGGTCTTGGCGTCGAAAAGTCCTCAACCTAGTCACAGGCTTTTAAACTGGCGAGATGCAACAACCCGTCCTCACACTAGGCTGGCTAAAGCAGCGGCCGTCATCCCCAGACAACCCGTCCTCACACTAGGCTGGTTAAAGCAGCGGCCGTCCTCCCCAGACAACCCGTCCTCCCACTAAGAACATAACAACAAAGGTAACTGCAGAAGGCCTATTGGCCCATACGAGGCAGCTCCTATCTATAACCACCCAATCCAACTCATATACATGTCCAACCCGCGCTTGAAACAATCGAGGGACCCCACCTCCACCACGTTACGCGGTAATTGGTTCCACAAATCAACAACCCTGTTACCGAACCAGTATTTACCCAAGTCTTTCCTAAATCTAAACTTATCCAATATATTCCCATTGTTTCGTGTTCTGTCTTGAGTTGATACTTTTAATACCCTATTAATATCCCCTTTGTTATGTCCATTCATTCACTTGTAAACTTCTATCATGTCACCCCTAACTCTTCGTCTTTCCAGTGAATGCAATTTAAGCTTTATTAATCTTTCTTCATATGAAAGACTTCTAATTTGGGGAATTAACTTAGTCATCCTACGCGGGATATGTTCAAGTGAATTTATATCCATTCTATAGTACGGCGACCAAAACTGAACTGCATAATCTAAATGGGGCCTAACCAGAGCAAGATATAACTGAAGAACCACACCAGGTGTCTTGTTACTAACGCTTCGATTAATAAATCCCAGTGTCCTATTTGCCTTATTACGAACATTCATGCATTGATCCTTTTGTTTTAAATTCTTACTAATCATAATTCCCAGATCCCTTTCGCAATCCGACTTCGCAATCTCAACACCATTTAGCTCGTATCTTGTAACTCTATCATCATTACCTAGCCTCAAAAATTTACATTTATTAGCATTAAACTGCATCTGCCAGTCTTTTGACCATTTTAAAACCCTATTTAGATCAACTTGAAGTGATAGTGAGTCCTCCTCTGAATGAATTTCCCTACCGATATCCCCTTTTACGTCACCTTTCGCTGGGTTCATGTTTCGCTCCAAGACCGGCCCACACCCCATACCCAAGACTTTCCAATCTATTTGACCCAAAAAATTTCTTAGGCTATTAAAATCAGCTTTTCGAAAATCTGGCACTTTAACAAAATTTTCTCCTACAGGTCTATTCCATTCTATGCTAAATCTGATTTCTTTGTGATCACTGTTCCCTAGCTCACTCCCTATTTCGATGTCATTAATTTGTATTTCCCTGTTAGTTAACACTAAATCTAAAATATTATTTTCCCGCGTTGGTTCCTTAATGTGTTGGTTCATAGACTCTATGGTCCAAACAAAACCATGTACAACAAATCCTAAAATAAATTGACTTGTGTTGGTGATCCAATCTATATCTATAGGTGAGAAGGTCAGTGTTTTCTTGTCTGTCCGAGGTTGGAGGCCATACATTGGTGGTTATCTTAATGTAACTTTTCATGGTGAAGTGTGATTGTATGGTGAGTGTCATAGTTTGGCCCATAGGGGTAGTTCCACTTAAACCTCTCTTAAATTAAGTAGGATTGGCTCCTATTGTGACAATTAATGACTTCTAAGAAGTCTGAAATATTGGTTTAATTGTCAATAGAGAGCAAGCAAAGGACTTTCCAGGAAGACAGAGTTTGACAGAGACTACCTTGTGTTCCTGGAACAGTGACGACGGTCCAGGTAGACAGTGACTGACAGACTACCTTGTGTTACAGGGACGGTGACGACGGTCCAGGTAGACAGTGACTGACAGACTACCTTGTGTTACAGGAACGGTGACGACGGTCCAGGAAGACAGTGACTGGAACATCATAGACTCCCGCTACAAGCGACGTAAGAGGTCCAACATCTTCTTCACCAAGACCAACGTCTTCACTCCGTCCAGTCAAGTCCAACAACTGGAATATTTTGGTGAGAGATTCCTACTTTTTATTATTTTTAACAGTAGCAGTGTTGTTAAGTGTAAGGGTTGTAGTAGTTTAAAAATTGGTTGAACTTGTAGTGGTGGTTGAAGTAGTATTACTACTAGTGAAATACATAGCAGTAGTGGTGCAAGTAGAAATAGCGGTAGTATTAATAGTATTACGAGTAGCGTTACAAGTAGAAGTAGTAGTACTAGGATAAGTAGACGTAGTAGTACTAGCATAAGTAGAAGTAGAAGTAGTAGTAATAGCATAAGTAGAAGTAGTAGTAATGGCATAAGTAGAAGTAGAAGCAGTAGTACTAGGATAAGTAGAAGTAGTAGTACTAGCATAAGTAGAAGTAGAAGTAGTAGTAATAGCATAAGTAGAAGTAGTAGTACTAGCATAAGTAGAAGTAGAAGTAGTAGTAATAGCATAAGTAGAAGTAGTAGTAATAGCATAAGTAGAAGTAGAAGTAGTAGTAATAGCATAAGTAGAAGTAGTAGTAATAGCATAAGTAGAAGTAGTAGTAATGGCATAAGTAGAAGTAGAAGCAGTAGTACTAGGATAAGTAGAAGTAGTAGTAATAGCATAAGTAGAAGTAGAAGTAGTAGTAATAGCATAAGTAGAAGTAGTAGTACTAGCATAAGAACAAGGTAACTGCAGAAGGCCTATTGGCCTATACGAGGCAGCTCCTATCTATAACCACCCAATCCCACTCATAAACATGTCCAACCCGCGCTTGAAACAATCGAGGGACCCCACCTCCACCACGTTACGCGGTAATTGGTTCCACAAATCAACAACCCTGTTACCGAACCAGTATTTACCCAAGTCTTTCCTAAATCTAAGCTTATCCAATTTATACCCATTGTTTCTCGTTCTGTCTTGTGTTGATACTTTTAATACCCTATTAATATCCACTTTGTTATGTCCATTCATCCACTTGTGTGGGGAAAAACTCCAGGCAGCTATTCTCTTTTTTAAATTGACTTTAATAAGATAAAGTTCTGTCTTATTTATTTTCTTAGTAAGTAAGAATTAATTGAGTGAACTGTATGTACTTGTTTAAACTGCCTGAAATTATCTCACACACAGTTGGGGGGACAATTAGTAGCTTATACCACTTTGAGATGGCTCCTTCTTAAACTACCAATTGTTTACCCTTGATTATAATTATTATACACATGTGGTGGTTCACCTTATTATTATATCATACCACATATGGTGGTTTAATCTACTAGTAATAATTACTAATTATGAATACTAATACTACTATAACAAAAGAGGGCTTAGCTGAGCCTGTTGTAGGGGCCTGCTAAGGCTGTGTAGATTTAGCATCAATTTGGGTGTGGCCCTGTGCCTCTTTGTGCCACGTAATGGCGGCCGTGTGGTTACAAACGTTGGCAAACAGCTAGGTAAATTATGTGTATGGTCCAACACTCTGCACAGCTTCTTGCTGCTCCTATCACAATTTACATTGTGGTTTGGGGTTTCCATACATATAACCGACTTATCTAATAAATGTTAAAAATGTGCACACAAATTTAAACAAATACAGGATACTTGGTAAGCCGGATACTGGAGTGCTCTAGTTGAATTAGTGGTGTTGCTATGGTAGTTTCTTGGGACAGAGTAGGTCTATCCTATGTGACCAGTATCGCAACACACGAGCCCCGTTTGTTATTGTTGAGTGTGAGTGGGAGCGTCAGTAAGTGACGCCCTGGGCTACCAACGCCCCTGAACTCTTGGTTCCACTTCAAAAGTAATTCTACATTAACAAGGGAATCATGCTACATTTTGGTGTTAGTAATTATATTCAGTCTTGTTGATTACTTTTTTGTTAAATTTGAATACAAGACTGTTGTATAAGCAATATTAGAACATTGTAATTATACGTGTTGTCTATGACGTCACAGGATCTCCCATTTTCTTTCCTAAAGGTAAAACAAAAAAGGGGATACTATGTTATGTGTGTGTGTCGGATTCCGACAACTTGTAAACCTCTATCATGTCACCCCTAACTCTTTGCCTTTCCAGTGAATGCAATTTAAGCTTTGTTAATCTTTCTTCATATGAAAGAATTCTAATTTGGGGAATTAACTTAGTCATCCTATGCTGGACACGTTCAAGTGAATTTATATCCATTCTATAGCACGGCGACCAAAACTTAACTGCATAATCTAAATGGGGCCTAACCAGAGCAAGATATAGCTGAAGAACCACTCCAGGTGTCTTGTTACTAACGCTTCGATTAATAAATCCAAGTGTCCTATTTGCCTTATTACGAACATTCAGGCATTGATCCTTTTGTTTTAAATTCTTACTAATCATAACTCCCAGATCCCTTTCACAATCCAACTTCACAATCTCAACACCATCTAGCTCGTATCTTGTAATTCTTTCATCATTACCTAGCCTCAGAACTTTACAATTAACAGCATTAAACTGCATCTGCCAATCTTTTGACCATTTCAAAACCCTATCTAGATCAACTTGAAGTGATAGTGAGTCTTCTTCCGTGTTAATTTCCCTACTGATTTTTGTATCATCTGCAAATTTGCAGATGTTGCTACTCAAGTCAAAGTAGAAGTGCTTACATAAAAGTGAAGTAGAAGTGGTGTAGGGTGTGGGCCGGTCTTGGAGCTAGACGTGAATCCAGCGATTGGTGACGTAAATGGGGTTTTCAATGTGGATTCAAAATATAACCTATTTAAAAATATTCTAAACGAAGCCCAGGAATGTAGTATACCATATAAATTGAATAGATCCAATACTAATGATCCAAAGTGGATAACAAAGGATCTGAAGAACCTTATAAGTAAAAAGAGAGCGTGGTACAAAAGGATTATGAATGGGGAAGTCAGTTTAGAACAGGAATTCGTACAACTGGTTAGAAATACAAAAAAAGAGATAAGGAAAGCAAAAAGAAACTATGAAATTCGCATAACAGAGCAAGCAAAGACAAATCCTAAAGGGTTTTTCCAGTTATACCGGACAAAGATTTGGGAAAGGATAAACAAATTGATTTGTTCGTTTGATGCATCACGTTACTGTGATCTCTGGGTGTAACGGAAAGGATAGGTCCATTAAAAACTGAGACAGGTCAAATAACAGATAGTGATGAAGAGATGAGTAGTATTTTTAATAAATATTATATATCTGTATTTACTAATGAGGAACTTAACAATATGCCTTCAGCCGAACAAATCTATGTGGGTGGGGACGAGGACAGGTTGACTACTTTAGCAGTTACCAGGGAGGATGTATGGGAATTGATTTGGAGGAAGGAGATAATAAAAGTATGTGTTAGTGGGAGAAAGGAATTGGCAAAATGATCAGGGAAAGAGAAGGGCCTCAAAATAACAATTCACTTAGGGTATATTACACTAACAGTAGAAGTCTAAGAAATAAAATTAACGAATTAAATGCTCTTGTCTGCACAGAAAAAATAGATATTATTGCACTTACCGAAACGTGGATGAATGTAGAAAATAGAGAACTATTAGCTGAATATCAAATAAATGGATTTAAACTATTTCACACAGATAGATATATTAGACGAGGAGGAGGAGTAGCCATATATGTTAGGGACAATTTGAAATGTAGTCTTAAAGAGGGAAGCAAAACTGAGCCACACACAAAAACTATTTGGATAGAATTAAACGAAAAAGCAAATAATATTATAATAAGAGTTATGTATAGGCCACCAAATTTAGACAGAATGGAAGCAAAGCATCTATGGGAAGAAATATCTAGAGCATCTAGATCTAACAGTATTTATGTCATGGGTGACTTTAATTTTAGTGGAATAAACTGGGTGAACAAAACAGGGAATAGTGAAGTAAAAGATTTTCTAGAATTAATTGACGATTGCTTTCTTACGCAACACATTAAGGAACCAACGCGGGAAATTAATATTTTAGATTTAGTGTTAACTAACAGGGAAACACAAATTAATGACATCGAAATAGGGAGTGAGCTAGGGAACAGTGATCACAAAGTAATCAGATTTAGCATAGAATGGAATAGACCTGTAAGAGAAAATTCTGTTAAAGTGCCAGATTTTCGAAAAGCTGATTTTAATAGCCTAAGAAATTTTTGGGGTCAAATAGATTGGAAAGTCTTGGGTATAGGGTGTGGGCCGGTCTTGGAGCGAAACATAAACCCAGCGATAGGTGATGTAAAAGGGGATTTCGATGTGGATTTAATATATAACTTATTTAAGAATATTCTAAACAAAGCAGAGGAACGTAGTATACCATACAAATTGAATAGATCGAATACTAATGACCCAAAGTGGATAACAAATAATTTAAAGAAACTTATAGGTAAAAAGAGAGCTTGGTACAAAAGGATTAAGAATGGGGAAGTCAGTTTAGAACAGGAATTCATACAACTGGTTAGAAATGTTAAAAAAGAGATTAGGAAAGCAAAAAGAAACTATGAAGTTCGCATAGCAGAGCAAGCAAAGTCAAATCCTAAAGGGTTTTTTCAGTTATATCGAACTAAGACAAGGGAAAGGATAGGTCCATTAGAATCTGAGACAGGTCAAATAACGGATAATGACAAGATGAGTAGTATTTTTAACAAATATTGTATATATGTATTTACTAAAGAAGAACTTAACAATATGCCTTCAGCAGAACAAGTCTATGTGGGTGGGGATGAGGACAGGTTGACTAGTTTAGTAGTTACCAGGGAGGATGTAATTAAACAATTAGAAAAACTAAAACCAAACAAATCCCCAGGGCCGGATGAAGTGTTTGCCAGGGTGCTTAAAGAATGCAAAGAGGAGCTTTCCGAGCCACTGTCTACCATATTTAATAAATCAATAGAGTCAGGCAGAGTGCCAGAGTCATGGAAGGTAGCTAATATGGTACCAAATTTTAAGAAAGGAGATAGATCACTTGCGTCAAACTATCGGCCAATTAGCCTAACGTCTATTGTTAGAAAGTTACTTGAATCAATAATTGCAAATACAATTCGTCTCCATCTTGAAAAACATCA